TTTGTGGCCTACACGACATCGAAAAAGAGTAAGAAGATGTCGGCGACAAACAAGCTAAATGCTGCGAAGAAGAAGTTTCACCATCGCACGGGGTCAGGTGGCTACCTGCAAGCCCGACCTAAGTGGTCCAAGGCTGAGAATGATCTGCTTTATAAAGGGATCGAACCGGAGACAATGAGATGGACAGACCGTTGCCGGACTTGGTTCTTCGGGGCTGGCGGAACCTTGGACCCTGTATCAGGGAAGTGCCGTTGGACGGACGAGCAACTGAAAACACCAGTCACAAGGCTTCGGAAGTATATCCATGCAGCGCAGCAAGGGACGTTCGTTCCAGACAGGGAGAAGGACGAGCTCACAATGGCCCTCGAGAATCTTGAGCACCCTGGACGGACACGAGGCAAGCCAGGCTCCATTCCGTGGAAGGTTGGTTTTCCGGACGCAGGGGGTTACAAAACCCACGAGGGGAGGAAGAAACTGGAGCAGAGCCAACTGCAGGCGCTGCACGAAAGGGTAATGGGGCTAGAGGAGCGAGAAGAGGAACGAGAAGCAGCTAATCGCAACAAACGACCTGCCGAAGCTTCCCCCGAAGCTACCCCGCCATCTCAGCAGAGAAGCAGCGTGGCTTCCACCGAGCTGCTTCAGCCGGAGCATGTCTTGACGGCTCCTGCCAGCTATCCCGTGGATGCTATCACGGGGGCTCAAAATTGCCACATTATGGCGCGATGGATGAATTTGAAGGTCAAGGCGGCTGTTGGCTATGTTTATCCTACTGAACAACGCGCAACTTAGCGCTGCCGGCCGATTCCAGCAGGATATGTCAGGGTGATGGTGGATGAAATAACGGAGGGATTTGAGGACCTCCAGCTTGACTACCCTACCGGTGAAGGGGAGACTAGGCTGGGTTCTGCTTTGAAGACTCCATGCCTATGGCGGAAGGAGCTCATCAACCTTCTGAATTGGATGCCTCCGCCTCCTCCTCCTCCTCCGGTGAGTCAGGGCACTCCGCCTCCTCCACCGCCTCCTCCTCCGGCGAGTGTCGATCAGGGCACTGGGCCTCCTTCTCCGGCGCGTGGTGGAACTCCGCCTCCTTCTCCGCCCGTGCCGGCGCGCCCGAGCAGCCAGCAGCCTCCTCCTTCTCCGGCGCGTGGTGGCACTCCGCCTCCTTCTCCGCCTGCGCCGGCGTGCCCGAGCAACCAGCAGCCTCGTCCTTCTCCGGCGCGTGATGGCACTCCGCCTCCTTCTCCGCCTGCGCCGGCGCGCCCGAGCAGCGAGCACCTTCCTCCTTCTCCGCCTCGCTAGCAAGGGCGGAAGATACCCGCCGCCGCCCCGGCTGCTCCGGCGCGTCGTAGTCCTTCTCCTCCACCTAGTAAGCAAGCACGAAAGAAGACAGGCGCCACAGCCACTCCGTCTGCTCCGGCGTCTAGCAGTACAGCAGCCAACAGAGGCGGGAGGCAATACAGATACGATCCACCTCTCAAGCCTCTAGAGAAGTTACCGTACGAGAGGACTGAGGAGGAAAACGAGACGATCGTGCGGGCCCACGTGAAGGACTTCTTTGAAGGGGTGAAAGCAAAGAGACATCCACCTTCGGAGGAGAAGGTAGATCCGGTGAAAGCAAAGCGCACTATCGATGCCCTGAGGAAACCACCAAAGTCTCCACCGAGAACCAACTATCAGCGCATTACTGAACAGACATATCTCGAAGCCCAGCGGTCGGGAACTACTGTCAGTGGTAAAAGGTTAAAAGAACGAGCAGCTGGGAAAAAAATTACCCAGCTCGGCGAACAAGCACAGCAATCGTGCCCACCGCTCAATGTGTCTAATGCTCCGGGGACAGTGGCCGGTTATGGCAATCTTGCAGATTACCTGCCTGACGATCAACTTCCTGATTTCTTGGAAGTGGACGAACACAAATATGAGTACGGGAAGCCTCTCGTCAAAGATGAAAAATCTCTGACAACTATGATGCGAAGATTCCATAATTGGTACATGAAAACCTGCAGAGAGTCTGGGGAGACGAATGCTTTGTATCTGAATATTAAAGAGGAGAAAGACCTCTTTGCAACTGATCTGTTGACTGTTCCATTTGATGAGTTCTTCGCGTTCTTCAATCAAAAGGCCCTCGATAAACTAATGGTCTTTTGCTACTATCTGTAAGTACTATTTCTGTCATTAAGTCTCTATATGTAGCTCGGCTCTTTCATTCCATGTATTTATAATTAATTATCCTCACTATATTATGCAGATTGAAGACCGTCGAGTGCAAAAAACAAGAAATGTATGATATTGTGTTCATTAACACAAATATCATAGATGAATTTCTGGTTAAAAAGCACCCCGCAGAGGTCGAGGAGAACTTGCTACAATCGTTGATCAAAAATCAAAACAAAGATTTAATACTCTTTCCTTACAACTCCAAGTGAGTGTTACTGTCGTGTGCAGATTTGGTTTCCCTTATTACTCGAGCGAGGTTATAGTAATGTAATTGATGAGTTATGCATGCGTGCGCAGATTCCACTATGTTCTTCTGAAGATTAAGCTTGAGCGGGGAGTAGTAAACGTCTTAGATTCGAGAAGAAAAGATCCCCAAACCTATGCGGACATGACTGAAATACTCAACAAGTAAGTTCAATCGATCATTTATCGCACCATATCGGCAACTTTTTGTTCATTTCCTGAAATCTCAAGTAATAATATTTATTTTCTTTGTCTTGCAGGGTTTGGAAACAGTTCATCGCAGAAGTTCCGGGACTGCCGAAGGAGCTGCGATATACATACCCGAAAGTAAGTACTACTAGCTAGCTAGTTGCGCGCATCTTCCGTTGATTCTATAGCTGTACTTTCATCAATGCCATTTATAATGCTTCATTATCAGTTTGATTGACGTCTATTTCTCGTAAAGTGCTTGTGGCAGGAACAAGGGAATGATTTCCGTGGATACTACGTGTGCGAGTTCATCTACAACGCGACTTCGAAACATAAGCGGGGCTACTCTAAAAGACAATATGAAGTGCGTAAGTAATAATATTCACAATTTCATTTTATTACACCATCATTTCCGTTGAGTTTCATTCATATATGTATTAACCCCCTTCTTCAAATTAGACGTGGCAGATGCGGGATAAACTCCTAGAACAAGATCGCATTAAAGCAATTCAAGAGGAATTGGCGGGATTCTTTCTTGACCACTCATCAATAAAGCCAGAGAATATCATGTGGAAATTGATTTCAATTGCTAGGAGATTGTAAGAGATTTTACATATTGTATATGTATGTAGCCAGTAGCGTCGGATATATAATACAAAAACTTGTTGTTCGACCAATCTCTCGGAGAAGGAGAGGTCGATTGATCACTTCGCTCGGTATGCATGACGAACTTCTGTACTTAATGGTTCCGTTTATTTTCTTACTAGCTAGCGTGTCGAGGGCCTCTTTATGTACAGTACGTAGCGTCGACCAAGCACGGTCATAAGAGAGGACACTTCTCTCTATTAATTAGCTAGCTAAAACAATA